TGTGATCAGCATGCGGATGGATGCGCAGTCTTTTAGGTACTGCACGTGTTCTGCGGTTGTAGATGGGGGTGGGATGTATGTCTTGTCGAAGGTATGTTGGGCGTCGTTGATCACGGCGATGTCGTGCAGGGCTTGCCGCCAGAGGTGGAAGTTGGTGCCTGCTGGAAGAAGGGTGGGGAGGTGGCCGTAGAATGGGGAAGTGCGGCGTGCCGATGAGGGAAGTTCGGTTGGCGGATCCATGTTCGGGGTGGTGGGGGATCGTAGTGTGGAATCGGCGGCTGTGTAGGACGAGGATGGTGGGGTCGCGGGAGGGGGCGATGGGGTGTTGGGGCTCTCGACGCTGGTGTGCGGAGGCGTGGTTGGAAGATCCGGGGGTGTGGGTTCTTTGGTGCGGCTCTCTACGCAGCGGGGCGGAGGCGGGGTTGGAAGATCCGGATTGTTCGGGTTTGCTCTACAGCTCTCTACGCAGTGGGGCGGAGGCGAGGCAGGGTCCGAGGATGGGGGAATATACTGCAGGCTGGCGGGGTGGCTGCCAGGGGTTGCAGGGGAAGATGGTGCGCCTTGTGAGAGGCGTGGTGATCTTCGGATGGGCGGTCTGTGATCGTGTTGCGGTTGTGGAATGCGGTTCGGGACCATAACCTGTGGTGCAAGGAACGATGACTCTGTTTTACTGAGGCTAGCGGACGAGGCTCTAATAAGAGGCGGCGGCGGAGGCACGGAGCCGCTGTCTATCTGTGTGACACCTGTGGTGCGTGTATGCGTGTCCTAGGTGTGTGTGCTGTACATGGGAATCATGACAACTCTCAAGAGGACTCTCGAGCAGACTCTCGAGCAGCGTCTCCCAGAGCTGAGTTCTTCGAGCCCTTCAAGAATCCACCTGACGTCCCCTCTCCGTTCGATCCCCCCTCGCTCTCCTCAAGCGCGCCCTCTTCTTTCTCTCCAATATCATCTTCCCTACCCCTTTCGCTTCATGCCGACGGTGTCTCCTTCTACCGCCCCTACTTTTGCTTCCCTCGGCTTGTCAGCGGGCCCCTTGCACGCCCACTGATACCGGTCTACTTTTGCTTCGCTTCCCTCTATCTACGTGCCCTCTATCTGCGTGCCGTCTATCTGCTGCACTTCTCCACCGCTCCCGATGTCCCCCAGAGGCCCATTACGGTCGCCACCACCCCTGGCCACCCTGTCCGTTGGGCCCACAGTTCCCTCCGTCCCAGTCTCCCGCGTCCGTGCTTCCCCTGCCAACCGCAATTGTCGCACGATCACAACCTTCGGACTCCGACCAGGCCTCACACTTGTACACCTAGTCCAGGTCTTCTAACACAAGGGTATTGTAGATACGGGCACAGTGGCAATGAGTTGGATACTGCTAGTGTCTATCGGACCGCTAGTAGTCCTCACACACCACATGCAGGTACTGCAAAGCACTTGCTCCTCGATTCTAGTGAAAATAAACTCGCTGATGCACGTAAAGGTGTTTAAAAGAAAATTTCGCCCCACAGTAAGTATTTTTCCGAAAGCTAATTTTACATCAGTAGTATAGAAGCATTGCGTAGAATGCTTTCTATTCGGTTCTTACTTGAGAAGTATGTGAAAAGGAATCATCCTACCAAAGAAAAATAGAAACCGTGGACATCAAAGTTGAAAAGAAATATAATTCGAAGATTTTATGTTATGATAACGCTTGATCGGATAGACATTAAAGTACATGGGCATTTGGACATCAGGGCGAGGCATCGGCATACTTACAGTAACATGGCACAGTATCGCTTTTGCATGAAGGTGAGCTCCCCCGAGCGAGTCGCCGGGGTCACATGTGGTACAGTACTGTAGTGCAATGAGATGTGTCCTGGGGACAGCAATGTTAGAATTTTCTGCAACTAAAATCTTTTCTCCCATGCTTCCCCGGGGCGTTTTCATGTGGTATCCCCCAGGATCGAGTCTCGTGACCCGGGGAATAGCCTAGCCGTCCACTGTCTGATGCTCTCTTGTACCCTTACGGTACAACAAGGTATAAAGTTTACTGTACTGTTGTGGAATGCACGACGCAGAATGCGGTGGTAAAACTACAGTATGACTACTGTACATCAAGTACGATCAGATCGTGGCTTTTTTCCCTTTTTTTTTATTGCCGATCTGGCTGTGGAATTGGCAGCAATGCTCATCGCGGATATGCAAAAGTCATGGAAAACGGAGATGTGAAGGTCAGACACGGAGCGAGTGGTCAGCCGTCGGCAAAACTGCGGAGGTATGAAGGCCGCGGGTCAAGCATGACCATGGCGAATAATCAGAAACGCAATTGCGCAAGGGCGAATACAAAGAGGAGGCGACAGGGCTCTACAGGCGTGCACAGGTAATGCGAAAAGGGTTAGAAGCCATATTGGCGCAGCCCGATTAGCTAAAAATGGATAGATACCGTACGAAGCGAATAGGAGCGAGCAGACGTATTTAAACCGAAGTATCTTGCGGAAAAAGACAATGGCAGAAAAGCCCAGCACCTGTGCTGAATCTCCTGTTCGGCCTGACCTTCTCGCGTCCTCGTCACAGCGAGAACACCAGCGGTAGACCCCACACGTTTTATCCAGAATCCGTACAGGATGTCTGAGCTTCTCAAAACTGTAGAGGAAGGGGGCGGAGGGGGGCGGGCATGTGTGAAAATATGGCCGGTAGTTGATGTCAGACTCAACCAGTTTTAGAGAACTGGATGACTAAGAACTTGCTTTTTTCTATTTTACCGTAAGGGGATTATTCTTACGTGTAGTAAGGAGTAGCTGCCCGACATTCGTGTGAATCTGAGAGAGCAAGAAGAGTTGAGTACTGTAGCAAGCAGAGAGCCTCCTCCTGAACGTTGCCCGACCGCATTACACATTACAAGGGCTCGGACGGTCGGTCGTAGGCATGTCCATTGTCACTTCCATAAACTTTTTATTTTTTCTCTTTCCGGAATTCCCTGAAATCGCACAGCACGTACTACTACAGGTAGCTACCCGTCCGCGTTGGCAAGACAGACAGCACCGCAAAAGAGCAGCGGCACGGAGTCGTTGCGACAGAAGGTGCCGTAGAAAGACCACGGCCAAGCGATGGTCTGTGTGTTCAGTGAGCCAATTGGCTGAAAATAAGAGTCCTGCACCGTGCTGGGACTGCATTTGTGTGTTCAGCCAATGGATACTCCTGTACGGTACTGCAAAGCGGATGCTGTTGGGATGCTTCACACTGCTTCTCTGTTCTGTCCGGATAATTCCTTTATTCAATGTCCTTTTGAGCGAATGCTACAATCTGTTCTGTCGGAACATTGAATACCCTACACTGCTGTGCGGTCGGTGGAATTCCTCTTACGAAACAGATTTCTAGAGCCTTGTTGGCGGCATGCAACCTGGCCCAGCTATACTGTACATCTTTGAGCATGGTTTCGCTCCGTTTCATTGCATTTCGGAAGTAAATATCAAATATTGGTGTATGCACGCATGCGACACATACTATTATACTGTACAAATACGTTGTGCCTGCTGAAGAGGTGGGCGAATCAATTCTAATTCCACTTCCTCATTCCATTCGTTTGCGACAAAATCGCGCTCTCCATCCAACGTGGCATCAACATGTCTACCTTAACAGCTTTCGCATCCGATCTTTGAAGACCCACTACAGTACAAGTACATTGCTGCATCCAGGAAATAAAATCCCGCCACTTTGCCACTTATGATAGAGCAACAGTACAACAATAAGGGGAGATTTATTTTTCGCCACTTCACTTCGCCACTCCTGTTTTGGCGGGCACTTGCCCCCCTCAGTTGGGAATCCCAACTTGCCGCGTTCAACTCCCAACTCCACCATCCACAACTCACCAGCACCAATCCAACTGCAATCTTTTGGTACCCCTTCTTTTCCACCACCTGCCTCTTTGCCTGCCATGGAACGGATCCCTCTACCGAACCGTCTTCATGGCGTCAGTAAATTGTTGCACGTGACGCGGACGTAGAAGGGCGGTGAGTTTGTACTTTGGCGTGTTTCGGGACCTCCGTTTGCGACGAGGTTGCTTGAGGATTTCCATAGTGGCCAGAGTTGCCGCAAATGCCGTTGTAGACTCTGTGAGAGCAACAACAGCGTGGCGCGTGCGATGCATGTTAAATGTGCCGGAGTGGAGAAATAAAGTGGCGAAGTGGAGACACCCCAAGGAAGTCCTTCCACTTCGCCTTGAGTGGCGAACATTCGCCACTTTTCACGACCTCTGATTAGGTGACGAGTGGCGAAGTGGCGGAATTTTATTTCCTGGATGCCTGCCCCATTGTTGTACTGCATCCCTCTCGTGTCTATCGGACTGTTAGTCCTCATATGAGGACAAAAGTTATTTTCTTTTGTCTAGAAAACCCAACGAGCGATTTCACTTCGGTTTTTGGAACTAGAAAACCATCCGCACAGGTACTTCAAAGCACTTCTCGATTCTGGTGAATCGAGAAACAAACTCGCTGATGCACATAAAGGTGTTTAAAAGAAAATTTCCCCCTACGGTAAGTATTTTTCCGAAAGCTAATTTTACAACTGTAGCATAGAAGCATTGCGTAGAATGCTTTCTATTCAGTTCTTGAGAAATATGTGAAAAGGAGTCATCCTGCCAAAGAAGAATAGAATCAGCCTCAAAATAGAATAGGTCAGCCCTCGGCAAAACTGCAGAGATACGAAGGCCGTGGGTCAAGTATGACCATGGCGAACGGCCGGAAACGCAATCGCGCAAGGGCGAATACAGAAGGAGGCAACAGGGCTCTATAGGGGTGCAGAGGTAATGCGAAAAGGATTAGAACCCATATTGGCACAGCCTGATTAGCTAAGAATGGATAGATACCGTACGAAGCGAATAGGAGCGAGCAAACGTATTTAAGCCGAAGTATCTTGTGGAAAAAGACAATGGCAGAAAAGCCCAGCACCTGTGCTGAATCTCCTGTTCGGCCTGACCTTCTGGCGTCCTCGTCACGGCTTGATGCACCACTGCGTTTCTCTTTCCTTTCAAGATGAAGCACGACGAGCCCATACCGGGCTGGGAACGCCAACCTTACAGAATAGTGGACTATCTGGTTGTCCTGATGAATTTCCTGTGCTTTATGGGCAAACGACGGAAACTTTCCAACTTTCGCTATGCTAATACCGCTCGAGATTGGGTCGCCAGCGTGCAGCACTTTTCCAAGATCCAGTTTTGGAAAGTGTACGGTCGCGTTTCTGCACGATACAACTATCATCCTCAGCAACGATTCCACAACGCCATGCGCAAGTTTGATGCAAGTGAACACCTCGCTGCACAAATGGCACAAACAGGGAACGCTGCGTTTTACTATAATGTTTGTGATCGTTCGGGTATTGCTAAAACCAACTATGCCGTTGACCTAACGAAAATAAGCGATCTCAACACTATCAAAGCCTCAGCAGATTATCTCTTCCAGGAAGTGAGGGCCCGTAACGGAGTTGAGTCAGCAAATGCCGCTCAAGGGTGTTTCATGAGAGGGTTCAGCAGAGCCATCAAGGTGTCTGATCCCAGCGATTGGAACAGCTTCCGCAACGAGATTAGAGCTTACCAACGAGTCAATGATGACCTAATTGGAAAGAAGGAAGACGATGCGTTGTTGATCGCGTTGTCTTATAAAGGAAAAGACGAAAACATTAACAGACGCATGAGGATCATTAAGCCAGACGGGTCTCCTGATGAAGAGTCAGGTGTACTGATGCAAGAAAAAGTGCAGAGGGAGTCAGACTTCGTGGATGACTTCCGATGGAGTCAGGTTGTGAGATCTTGTATTGCTATGGCAAGAACACAAGGAAAGAGCCACGTCCGCATATGGATCGACCGGCTTGTAATGATGGGTGTCGAAAAAGAAGAGATAAGTCGATTGTATGGACTGTCGCCATGGGAGGAATTTGGACTTCTGCCATATGCACTTTGTCCTGTTATTCGTGTATTCAGCGGCGGGGAAGTGTATTATGGAACAGATTTCTGGAGAAAGTTAGAGACAGTTCTCGGAGTGGCTGGCAGAGGCCTTGTTGTAGACGATTACATGCTTCGAAAGTATGACAGAACAATTTTCTATAGCCCCTCTGTGTATGAAAGGCTTGCGGATGGGGTAAGTTGTATTGGGGGCAAGGGACTATATGTGAGGTCAACGACTCTTGCTTTGGCGACAGCTATTCTGACGGACGGAGTGAGCGTAAGAAAGTCGAATGAAGACTTGAGAACAAAGGCTGGTGCCATAGCCTGGAAAGCTTGGGCGCTGCGCACGATTGCTGAGGGGGCGTACAGCAAGGCCCATCCGTCGATGATGGCAGGACAAGAAGCATTCACGATAGGAATGGAAAGCTTTCAGACGATTGCGTTCTGGGAATCAATAGTATCTCGGAGCAAGGCGTTGGTGGGACAGAGCTATTTGGATATGTCCATTCAAAGATCTGTGGAGTGGAGGAGTAGCTCGCAATGGGACGGTGTGATTGAATGGACCGGGATGGTGGGAAGCAGTTGCTGGATACAAGATCGAGAAGAGATTGTTGAATTTTTGACAAGACAAAGTGAGATACGACTGTATGTGACACCGAGCGGGCATGTGGCTTCGACTGTTGAGCTGACTAGCCCTGTCAATTCTCATAAGAGAACGTTGGTAGTTGACTTATCACGCTTTTCGACGGCAACCGACGGGTATGTCACAGCCGTTGCTGAAGCGACAGGTCTTTGGGGTAAGAGTGTGACACCATGGTATCTGAGAGACAGGGTCGACCCCGATAACGACCAGAAAGGAGAAATTTCAGAGGAAGAGCTCATTTTCACGTATGAAGCTATGAAGAGAGAGCATGTTGGCCGTATATTTCTGCGGTGGGTAATACCGCCGTTAATCTTTCTTGATGTGATCTTGTATGTGCCAAGCTATTTACGCGTGTACTTCGCAAGCCTCGCGGCCCTCACGGTGCTTGCGATAATGTGTTACTATTTCGTACCTTCGTGGCCTTGGGTAGACAAACATGACGTCGGGGAAGCTCTATTCGACAATCTACGTTTGCATTGCTTGTTTCACTCAGGCATCAAGACGCATTTCCGACTTTTGAAAACCGTTCCGTACAATCAGATCAAGTGGAACTAGTGCACGAACGGGGCATTGAGCTTAGCAAAAGCATGCTTTGTCATCAGCAGCATGCGGTAAAATAGCAAGGGCGCACCTGCATTCTGTTTAGATTCGTTGGCGTAAAAGGACGTGAGAAAATCAGTCTTCAGTATCTTTTTACTTGCTCAATTCACGCTTCGCCCTTCTTCCTTGAAAACAACAACTTAACTTAGCGTGTTATATACCGGTTTTCGCTCTTGCTTTTCTGTTCTTTCTCGCGGATGTATCCCGCGGACCCGCCCGGCTCGTATGTTGACCTGGGCACTGATGTCCCTCTTTACTGAGGGGACCGTCTACTCCCTGCATTTACACTGTTATAGCTTGGGTCTCTCCATCTCTCTTTCCCTCCTACTGAGTGCGAATCGGGTGCCAATTACAACATATTTTGACACTCCTGCTCCTTGATAATTTCCATATTTCCTCTCTCCCCCATCGGACTATTTCTTTTCAATGCTTAGTGCAAAGACGGCTGACTGCATCAACACAGCACTCGGCCTCACTAACGTGTACTCTTCTTTCCCTTCGCAGCTGAGATAGCGTCATACTCTGCCAAAATCAGTTCCAGTAGATTTTCTTCTCGTACCCATTCAGCTCCTGTACGCAGTTTCCCGTTGATCTTGAACCATCATTTGCCGGTCCTCCTTTTGACTGCCACTATGTCTTGAATAGTTCGTCTAGAATCCGGAAAGATCCTATAGCGAATCTCCTGTGTTGCTAGCACTCGCGGAGTGCTTTCTGGGTCCTGCAAGGGCTCCTGGCTCAGAGGAGAAAAAATGAGAGGCTGATGCCTTTTGCTTTACTGAGCTGCACTGGGTCTCTATCTCTTACATTAAGACGGGTACCCTATCGGTCCCGGGGATGGAGCCCCAGGGGGCTGGTAGGTACCGAATTTGGCAATAGCCAAATTCCAAACGTCCACCCCAAAATGGCAGCAGACTGCTACACTCCTCTTTCCCGAGAGCGCGAAAATGAATAGCGAGCACGCTGTACGACATCTTGTTTCGGGAAGGAGTCTAGAAAGGCCTGGACCATGTTTGGAACGTCCTCGATCGTTGTCGGAAGGGGTTCCCAGGTCGGAAGCTCATCAGTAAAACCCCGCCACTTTGTTTTCAGCTCGTAACGGCGGACTGGACGATTATAGCGTAAGTCGAGGAAAGCCACGACGACATTGCAGCGACGGTCATTGTGGTCGATCGTTTCCAAGAGTTCCTGAGTGACGTTAAGCTGAGAGTCAGCATAAAATTTGAGACGATTTGCGTGGACTAAGAACAAACGGCCATTGATCAGATCTTGGCACTCAAAGACCCACTCAGACTCAGTATGGGAGACGCGCTGCGGTCCCACCTATTTGACCTTCAGTTTGGAACCTGCCATGGGATCCATGCGAGCCATGAGTACAAAATCCCCTATCATAAAGTTTGCATGCTTCACGCCTGTTTTCACGTTTTGCTGCCGGATTGCAGCATCCCTTTGCTTGGTACGGCGTTCAGAAACGTCCTTACGTATGTCGTCCAGAACTTTGAGCAGTCGCTCCGTGTTCATGAGCTTGAGTGCGCGTCCTGCTTGAAACGAGGTAAGTTGTTTTCTGTCTGGGAGGACGATGAGCCTCAGCGGGTTGTCAGCTGGTAGACCGGAGAAGCTGTGAAAGGAGCGCGATTTCCCAGGCTTCCGCGAGATTTGTAGTTGATAACTGACTGCATAAGAGGAAGTACGTGTGGCCATTGAGTGGGGGACATCCTGAACTCCGAGAGAAGGGCCCTGCAACACCGCAAAACTTCTCTGCAACCACTCTCGACAGTGCCGTTAGATTTAGGACTGTGACTCACAGTGAAGTGGTGATGGGCGTGCAGTGCTCAGTTCAAGGAGTGTATGAGCTTATTTTTGAAATGAGTGCCCTGATCTCAGATCCAGGTAGGGGACGACACCGAAAGCGGAAAACCACTGCAGTAGAGCGGAAGCGGCAGCTTCGGACGTAGGATCGGACGAAGGCTTCAACCAAGTGTATAGGGATGCGTCATCTGTGGGGGAAATTTGGGGTACTGTACCGGGTACAGTACCCAGGACCAAAGCCTTCAAAAAGGTGATTTTGTTGGTTCGCGTGTACGCCAGGTGTACACGTGGACAATCTCCCTTTGAAGGGCGGCGGTCCTGTGGAGTGGAAGATGATGGCGGCCCCCTCTATAAGAGAAAGGGGCGCGCCGCGACACACCGCAATGGGGGAGAAGAACAACGACACCCGGACAGACCCCCCCCTCTTGAAATAAACATCTCGCTTTTCTCTCTCCCCTACGCCCGCAGCCCCCCTTTTTAGCTGTCAACATGGTACTCTTGTGGAGGGGTGGCAAAGAAGACGGCTCCTTGTCACAGTTTGACGGGTCGAAGCCGGCTGACGTCCACAAGTTCTTCTTCGTGTTCGAAAATGTTGCCACCTCTGGCAAGTCGGACGAAGAAAGGGCGTTTGAACTCCTTCGCTACCTGGAGGGAGATGCATTCGACTTCTTTTATCAAGCCTTTGTCAAGAACGGAGATAGCAGTGCAGATGGCTCCGACTACCAGAAGGTCAAGAAGGCCTTGGTCGAGCGGTTCGCCCCGGTTGAATCACCTGAAGATGTGATTCGGGATGCGATGGCCGCTCGCCTTTCTTTCGGGGATATCAGTGGGTCCCTTCGAAACTCAGACCGTCTCTAAAGAGAAGGCGGGATTCAACGACGAAGCGAAGTTCGGACTGCTTCGCAACGCCGTGATGGAACATCTCTAGTTGGCCCAGTTTGCCATCTATAGAGGTGCGAAGACCTACAAGGCCCTATTCGATGCAATCATGGACTTCTGGTCTGGTCGCTGCGCCTTTCAGGCGGCGGCGAACTCCTTGAGCAATTCGCGCTACCAGGGGTCAGAGAGCTCGCAAGTTGTGTATGAGCCGAGAGGGCAAGTTGGGTCAAAAAGGGTCATGATGCGTTCAAAAGCTCCCTTGTCTCCACTCGAGACGAAAGTTGACGCTTTAGCTGATCGACTAGCCGATATTTCCCTTATTATCAAGAAGAATCATTCGAGGGATGACGCAACAGCATTCCGCCCCGCCCACGATCGTACTTGTTCTTATTGCAAACGACCGGGTCATGGCGCTAATAGATGCGATGCGAATCCGCATAGGGACACGAAATGCCCTTGCTGCGGAAAATTTGGTCATTCAGAGACAAGCTGTTGGGCTAGAATTGGTCCACAGAGGGGAGGTAGCAGTGCCTACCCTCCTAAGAAGACCCAGACGGATATTGCCGTGTCGAGTACACGGACGGGCTTCGCAGGAAACCAGGTGAGTGTTGTGACGCACGACGACCTCCCTGCTGATGAGAAGTTAGTGGCATCAGTCAAGAGAAACGCCGATGGAGAGCCGATGGCCAAGACGCGAAACGATGGTGGCGGCGAGCCAATCCCCTCCCTTCTCAACCTGCGTAAGTACTGGACTCCGAACTCCCTGAGGAAACCTCCTAAGCCCGGCCGTCGAACAAGAAAGAAGAGGACAAGTAAGAAGAACGCCGTCCAAGAGCACTCGGGGAAGTACGATGTGGTTTCTTCCCTCGCGAACGCCCCCTCTGGTTTGACATTCGGTCAACTGATTCGAGGAGATGGCGACGAGGCCAAGAAAGAGATCCGTCGTTTGTTCAACAGTCGCCCTAGACGCCCCGTGGCTGCTTCGATCGGTACTTTGCCGAAACGTCTGAAAGTAGTTTCGGTACAAGTCTACGGGACACAAATGAGAGCGTTGTTAGACTCAGGAGCTATCCCTAATGTTATGAATGCGTCTGTGGCATCGAAGCTCTCTCTGTTTCCAAAGCCGACTCCGACGAAGATTACGGTCGCCAATGGACAAAAGACAGCCTGCTTAGGTTCCATCGAGGAAGTTCCTGTCACGTTCAATGGCGCTGTTACTTCACTCAACTTCTTGGTTGTTGAAGGATCCCCAGTTGATATCTTAATCGGGTATCCAACTCTCGAAGAACTTCAAGCCTGCATCGATCTAGGTCACCAGTCTGTTAGAATGTTGATCGGAAACAAAACCGTGAAAATGAGTCTGGAGTTTGATCAATTAAGTCCTATCGTCGCGGATTCGGAGACTGATAGTGAGGACTTCACTTCTGATGTCGAGTCGTTCGCCTCAGAAAACTCGTCGGAAGAAGAGACTTATGTTGTCGCCATCCTCGGCGATGAACCTTTCGAGCTAGGCTTAACTCTGGACGGAGCGATCGGAGAAGATGAGGAAGTAGAATCACCTGATTCCGATGTCATCAACAAGGCCGTGAAAATGCTTCGGGAAAAACTTGTGCATCTTGACAATGAAGCTCAAGCAGTCATCGAGACCGCCCTGATGGGTAGGAGTATCGTTGCTACATCCTTTGACGACCTTCGGCCTGCTGAAGTCCCAATCAAGCACCATTTCGAGTTAGATGATACTAATCCGATCTATCACTCGGCGAGGAGAATGGCTCCCTTGCATAACGAAATCGTTCGGAAAGAGCTGGACAAAATGCTGGAAGCAGGAATCATCACGCCTTCCAGCGCCGCATGGTCCTTTCCGGTCGTCATCGTATCCAAAAAAGATGGGAATCCACGCTTCTGTGTTGATTACCGTTCTCTGAACCAGAAGATGAATGCAGACAGATGGCCTTTGCCGAAAATAGAAGAGATATTTGATGACTTGGAAGGAAGTGCGTACTTCACTTCTCTGGATTTGTTCAGTGGTTACTGGCAAATTCGGATGGCACAACAATGCAAAGAAATGACTACTTTTGTCTGTCGCTACGGGACGTATAAGTTCGAAGTCATGCCCTTTGGATTGATGAATGCGCCTTCGACATTTCAGAGAATGATGGATACAATCTTTCGCGGAGTGCCGTTTGTGCGTGTGTACCTCGATGACGTTGTGGTGTTCTCTAAGACTATAGAAGAACATCTTCGGCACCTGCAGCATGTATTTGATGTGCTTGACGAGGCTGGTCTTAAGCTTAAGCTGACAAAGTGTAGCTTGGCCCAGGCGAAGATCAAGTTGCTCGGTCATGTTGTCGACAAAGGCGGGATTGCCGTTGCCCCGAGCGAGGTCGAAGTAATTCGGAATGCACCGATCCCGA